TGACAACGAACTGAATAATTATAATAATAACTACACTTATCTTCGATTTAGGAACAACCTATCGCCACGGTTTCCACTGCTGGAATACTTTAACAATGCAGACTTTCAAAATCATAACAAATTTGTATGTGAACACGGTTCAGCGGTCTATTTATTTCCTCTTTCAGCCCTGCTTTGAAAACTTTTTCGCAATTACCTCGAACCAAAACTTGTCAAAAACAAAAAGGCAGCTAAGACAGCGAATATACGTGCCACATAATATTTATGTACATCTAAATTCACAACGAACACTTACAAAACATGTGTATACATATGTATGTGCATATGCATTTAACTACATATGTATCTATTAAATATGTATGTATGGACGAAGCTATAAAAAGTTTACCTCATCTAACACTAAAAGATCCCCAAAGTACTCGCAAAATACCAAAATTGGTGAAATGGCACAAAGCTGTTTCGGCATATCAAGCGTAACGTTAGCATGACAAAGAAAAAAAGGTAATGCTTCATTAAGTTGAACAATAAAGAGAGTAATTTCTTTGGAATATTTTTCTTTTCCATTTATTTTCCCACCGACTGAAAGTAAATGTATGAAACCTTGACGGCACAGTGGTCGGAAAACCATGATTTTCGCGAAAATTGAGAAAGGTTGCCCCAATGTGTATGAAATTTTAGGATTGTAATGTTGTAATATGCCGTAAAATGTAAACTTTGGCAGTTGACCGTTAAAATCAACTGTCATTTTTTTAGGTAAAAGGAAACCACTCAAAAGTAACACCCCTTAGGCTTCAGGACTCGGTGATCAAGAAGTTTAGGTGAAATTGAAACTTTGACTGTTGTAAAAATTAAAAAAAAGTTTAAACTTTGACTGTTGACAGCTGTCAAATCAAAAATAATAAATAAAAATGCATAAATCGTAACTGACATCATTTAGGTTTTAGTATTCGCTGACCACGAATTTAAGTTCAAATTTAGATTTTAACAGCTGTCAGATCAACTGCCACTTTCATTTCATTTCATTCGCTAGGAATTAAAAAAAATCCTAAAAGTGACTCCCAATAGGTTTTGGGACTCGGTGATCACAAATTTTATTGGAAACCTAAATTTTGAGAGCTGACAGCGGTAAAGTAAACTTTATGAAATAAAAATTAAATTTTTTAAATATACTTCTCTATAGACATATTCTGTAATCATTAATTAATATTACCTATACAATTAAAATGTCGGCCGCTGTGGTGTAGTTGTGAGCAGCGCGCGCTTTCACTCCTCAGCACCTGGGTTCAAGCCCTGGTCAAAGCGACATCCAAAAAAATATAGAAAAAGGTTTTTTCTTAACAGCGGTCGTCCCTCGGCAGGCAATGGCAAACCTCCGAGTGTATTTCTGCCATGAAAAACTGCTTCTCATTAAAATACAATCGCCGTTCGGAGTTGGCGTAAAACTGTAGGTCCCTCCGCTTTGTGTGACAACATCAATGCGCACGCCACAATTTGGAGGAGAAGCTCGGCCAAACACTAACATATGTGTAAGCGCCAAACTATTATTATTATTATACAATTAAAATTTTTTATTCCAAATAATAACTGTGTCAGTAAAGGTGGGGAAATCTTAATATTTTAAGCCTTAAATACATGGTGCCGTTGTAATACGCACTTCCACTGTATATTTATTATTTTTTAGATGTGCCAATATAAATTTATAGCCAATTTCCACCAAAAGTTTAGCTGCAGTTAGGGGCTCGGGCAAGTTCCAAGAATTTTTACATGGGGTGATCGGCAAGGTTTACGTCTTAATTTTAGTTTTTTCCATTCGTTTGCTTGACTTTAATAGGTGGAATTACGCTCTTCGAGTTGTAACCTCCTTTTTCCAATAGGCATAAACTGTAGTTAAGGCTTGGTGGAAAACAACTATTACGCCTTTATAAAAATCTACCATTTTGTAAACAAATAAAAAAGGACGAAAACCAAATGTTATAAACTTTTTAGGTAATATTGCATCATTTAATATGTTAATCATGGACTATGTTAATTACATATGAACATACGAGCATTTTTTTAATTTGTCTATTGGAAAAAGTCTGTGAAAAATAAGTACAATTTCTCTACAAACTTACAATTTTCTCCTATAAAAATATTCATTTCCGAATACGCTGAAGTTTTCTGAGGTGGACCATGCAATCACAAATTTATCATTCATAACTCTAAAGAATTTTTTTTTCGCACAAAAATTCGTTTTTTCCAACCATTGTGCAACGCTTAGAGTGAAATTCAGACGATTATTTGTAACTGCATAGGTGGGTTGCGTTGTATGTGTGTGCATATTGCGGGCAGTATGCGAGTGGCAAGTTATCAGGTGGTAAAATGCCAAATTGGCAGCTTCTAAATGTAATGAATAAATTTGTTCACCTGGAAGTTTTCTGCGAATTGTTCATTTGAGAGTAATTTAAGGCATACTTATACATATATGTGTACATACAAAAGTTTTCATTGGCTAAGGTATATATTAAATCATTAATTGAACGTTTTTTGAAAATAATTTTAAAGAACTAAATTTAAAAGATCAAAAAAAGATTGTGAAATCAAATGAAATCGCCTTGCTAAATTTTACTTTAATAAAACTGTGGAAAAGTTGTGAATGTACCTTGAAAATTGCTTTAACAGAACGACCGAAAGTTATGCAGGGAATGTAATATGTACACAGAATATGTTTGGAGCATTTTTAGAACTTATGTCTGGCTGTTTACCTGTTTGACTTACTAATCACCGACCCCACTGAATGGATTTTCATGGAGCTTTGTGGAACTTGTGACTAGACAGTTTATGTTGAACATAACATAAAAAAATAAAAAAAGTAAAGAACATGGAATATGACGAGGAGTCGGGGCACCTTCCACACCGGAACCGTAAGTCACATGACTTTGAAATTTGGTGTGAAATGCATACATATGAGTTTATAGAACAGGGCGTGGTATATCCCATAGACGTGGAATTTTTTATCAGAGATTAGTGTTTGGTGTGGAGTGATTACCTAAGTAATTGAAAGTGGTGAGTTTTTGCCAGAGAACCGTAACCTTGGAACTATCGCCAATAAATAGTTTAACAGAATGTCCTGTAGTAAAGTGAAGAGGGATGAGAGTTTGCAAGAAGTCGTGGCACATCCCATAGAAGCCATACATACCTTCAGAGAACCATAAATTTTTAGCCAAAAATCGCGTGACACATAATTTCAATTTTAAAAATTGGAGCGCCTTTTATTCTTCCTTCGTTACCTTGATTCACCTAACCTTAATAATGTAACAAGATTGACTCGAAAGAATATGATGACCAATTTAATTGAAGCAAAATCTATTACTGGATGTGGCAAAAGGGAAGATTATTACCCCGAGGAGTCCCATTTTTCCAATGAATTGAATTTAAAAGGCCTCGGTATTTTCAGGCTTTGCTTTGACATGCGATAAATTAATTACAAAGTCAAACATTAAAGGTAACCGGGCTTCAGCTGGAAAACCCCTGCTTTATCGACAGATGCTAGCAAGTGCGATGTCCGAATAGTATTTAAGCTTCTGCAACGCAAAATAAAATTGCAACTATTGTTCATAAGAGGGCCTTAAATAAAAAAAAATGGCTTGTGTCCTTTAATTTATGGTAAACTGAAAATTGTTCTTACTGCTTTACATTTTTATTTGATGGCCCCGAACGACATCGGGTGTTCTGCTAGTAAAAAAATATTATATATTTCTAGTTTCTTCTCCATTTTTCATACATACTCACAAATGTTTTACAAATATTAGGCTTATTTTTTTTAAGAACAATTAGCTTCTTTTTTATACTAATTATTTAATATTTGCGGAAGCGAATTTTTTTATCATTGGGATAGGATTAGAGTTCTAAAAATATTGTACCATGGACCATTTTTATAATTTAAGTTTTCAAAATATGCTCATAATTCCGTTTTTTTTTTACTCCATTAAGTCAAAGTCAAAAACTGGAGCCAATCTAATATTTTTAAGGTCGTATTCTGATTCAAGTGTTCTTCTTCACAATGATACTTAACTTCACACTCAAGAAGGATGTGCATTAGGATGGTCCATAAATGTTTGTGAAAAAAGTAAAGTCGGAATTTTAATGCTCTCGCGCCCTAGGATTGTTTCATTATCGAAAAAAATTACCCCTGCTGTTTTTAATCAAAAAATAGTTACGAGGTCGCTCAAAGTTTCACATATATTTTATATGAGGGAACAACTCCGGCTTTAATTTCTTTGGACCACCGTAATGTGCATATGTAAAAAAAAAAAATTACATAATTTTCTAAAAAATTCTTAATTTACTGCTTAAATATTATTCGATTTCGATTTTTTCAATACATATTTGGCAATTTGGTATGACGGATGGAAAAATTCTTTTTTTTTCATTGGGCGAGAAAATATATATGAACTCGCATGAAAACAATTTTCTTCGGCTAAAAATAAAGTCGCAAAAATTGTGGGGCCATCGACTTTTATTTGATTGTAAAAAGAAAATAGTCAGCATATTATCATAATCAGCATAAATATCATTTAGTACACCCCAAAATAATAACAGCTAATAAAGAGACGGAGCAGTTAAGCTCCTCTACAAGCCTATAAGGCCTAATGACAGGTAAAGAACTCACACGCAGAATACATTTTTCAGTGAACTTAAGGAGGTAGACTTACAAAAACATAAGACAAATATTTTTCATTGGTTTTTGTTAAAAAGATAATTTCGGCCAGAGTTGTAAGTGTTGTGTTAGTGAACCAACAAATGAATTGTTGAACAGCGAAAAGTCCACTATTTTTCACTTGTATTCCCCATTGAATATCTCAAATACTTTATTCCTATCCATTATTACTAAATATTACTACAAATACAGCCACATTTATCTGTTATTATTTGCCCATAAGTATTCTCAACTCGTACAATCGTACATAAACAACCATTTATTAGCGTTTAAATAAATTACATATAAAATTTCTACTCACCGCTTCGTTTCTGTATATCCTTTGCCATGTGCCCGTAGAGTCGGCTTAAATCGATGGCAGCTACATTATCGCTGGCCAACAGCACTTGGAGTAGCACAAAAATAGCCAACGGCCAGTAGCGTACCAAAGCGGGCGGACGTGAAAGCCGCTGGGAATGCATCGATTCCTGTTTGCGGCGGCGTTGCCGTTCCTCTTCGTGCCACATCATTGTAGAAGCCGATAATGGCGCTAACATATTGGTACTCGTGGTGGTAATGGTGAATGGAGGCATTCTGTTTTCTTTCTTATTTTTAGTATGTACTTATTGTTTTTGTTTTTGTTGCTGCTCTTATTTTCTTACTAAAAATATATGCCGAAATTTAAAGGTCCATAAATTTTTATGTGCTAACACCTTAAAGCACAACTTCACGCACTTTCACGAAAGCTTCGCGTGCACTGTGTTTAGCTTACACTTTTTTATGACTTTTGTTTTTTGTTTTTTTTTTCGCACTTTTGTTTTCCTTAATTTTTGCCTTAAGTTTTCACACGCGGCAAGTTAATGTTGTAGTAGCTACGTTTTGGAGTAGTCAAAATTGCTACTTTGTATGCATTCGCTGGCTTGTTCGCGTTACTTTCGTCTTTATTGCCTTCTCTCTTCCTTTGACGTGTTGCTCACTGCTCAGCCAGAGTGACTGTCTCCCCTGTTGTTTTATTTATTACGCTAATGCGCCGAACTGCTTAACGCTTTGCTGTTTTTCTTTTTGTTGTTTTTTTCTTTTTGTGTATCCTCTAATCAGCGCCAAAAATCATTTCTCGTTGCACGGTTTTTTGTTTTTGCCAGCCCCTTGTTTTCTGTGCTCACTGTACCCAAACGTACTGTTCAATAATTTCGTATGCGGCAGCTCTCTTCTCGCTGCTTCCTAGACTGCAAACGCTTGATCGAACGCACTATTGGCAATTTTTCTATTCTTTTTCTTGGTTTGTGTGCTTCTTATTTCCGATTTTTTTTTTCTATACAACTTCTAAATTAATGGAGTTATTCGCACCAACGATTTTGCTAAAACAAAAAATGTTTAAGTTGTTTGGTTTTTATTTGTTTTTTTTTTTTTTTGTTATTTCGTTGCCTCTAGGTTTTGCTGCTTAGTTTTTTTCTCAAATATTTTCTGCTACTATGGCTTCTCAAGCGTTAAAAATTAAATTAGGACTTCGTTTTATACATAAAACTTTTTCGAATCCATGCAAATTATATGCCTTTACATTTTTCTACACTGCAAAGAAAAATGAAAGAAAGGCATAAAGTATATTTTACAATTTTAGTAATATCCATATATTTTATTTATTTATATATAAACATAGGCAAGCAGGCACTTCTTAACCACGGATGGTACTTTTTAATTTTTGTACACTAAAATGCTTCTTCGTCGAATCGAATACAGAGTTACATATTTTGAACTCAGTTTATTGATCCCTTTCTAGAAATAAGTTAAACTGTCCGTAACGGTTATGATTTTAATAATAAAAATAAAAATTTAACCGTTGGAATTGCATTTATGTTTTTATTTTTTCCATAAAAAATAATCGTCCTTTTTGAATTTTTTTTAATCAATTTTGTATCGTTATTTCTGATTTTTAGTTTTTCAATAAAAATTTTGTAACCATTATTTTCGGAAATAATTTTTTAGTTCACAAAGATTTAAATCGGTGATAATAGCCATTATAACGATTAAAAATGAGCGAAAGCATTACAATTAAATTCTGCAATGAAAATCCGAGTTCAACGGTTATTGTTGAGCGGAAAATAAATATAAAAATTGCACGATTTTCCCTGGTTTATTTTTTCATCAAACTATTAGATAGCTCCATTTTTTTATTAATACATATAACTCGAAAATGACTGAAACTAAGCAATGGAGAAAGTAAAAAAGTCTCGAACAAGTGCCGTCCATGGTTAAAGCAGCTTTAAAATAAAAATAATAATCGTCAATAGTATTAATACTAAGTATAACTTAAATTAAATATGCATATTTAGTTGAATATTATGTTACTGTTGTTGTTGTTATTTGTGCTCGAGTTTTTCACCGACTTTTGATTTCTGTATCTTTCAACCTACGGCTCAGCAGGACACTTTTGGATTAATACTATACATTAATATAACTAACGCTCGTATCGCGTTGATTTTTGATATTTTTCGTTTTTTTTTTTGTTTGTTTGGTACACACACTTCCTTTACTAGAAATCTTTACATTTCTAAGTCAATTTTTTGATAAAAAAAGAAAAAATACCAAGTTAGCGATAAATACCGTCACACGTATAATCCATGACACTTAAAGAATTGATTATAGTTGAAAACGAAGCACTTGCTTTAATGGGTTAACCGCCAAGTACAACTAAATTGATCAGTCGGTATCGCACCGACTCCAGATTTTGTTTGGAAATGTACCGTTTATAGAGAGGAGGGGCGAGTGAATGATGTAATATTTTGTATTTATGACTTTTGTCTTGTCCTCTCTAAGTCCAGCCGGTTTTTTAGTCAACTGTCACCCCGACTTTTTTCTAACTGCCTTCATAATGTCGAAACACTGTGCGAAGTTATTATTTTCTTTCATACAAAAAAAAAATGAAATCGAACACAGTAACTTTGTATGGAAGAAAACGCATGACACCTTCAGCAAAAAAAAATCAAAAAATCAAAGATATCTTCATGAAGTGTTTTTATGCCAAACACTTTTTGATTAATATTTACCAATATCCCATTGTTATATTTCATTTAGCTTAGCATAACAAATTTATTAAAATTGGGGAAGAACTTACAATATTTGCTGGGAAGGCAAGAGATATTACATTTGGCAAATGTTCACCTAAATTCAATATGAATTTTTAAACAGCTGGTATACTCCTCAAAACTGCTTTTTTAAACAACTCTCGTTAAAATGAATTTCACACTCTTCAAAATACTCTCTTGAACCAGTTCATATTTAATTTTTCTAACTGATTAAATTTCGACCTTTTCCTTTAACTTAATGATTAAATTTAATTTGTCTTTTAAACAGGTGACAGCCTACATTAAAAATTTCTTCGACACTAAGCTTTCTAATTTCTTTCTTGATTGACGTTCGTATTGTATTTTTTTTCCAACTTAATAGTTATGTAAATCGATTTTGGCTTTTAGGATTTAGAACTTACTTTTAAACAGGTGATAACCTTCTTCAAAACACCCTTAACATAAAGCCTTCTTGAATTTCTTTCGTTTGCTACCCATATTAAAATACTTCCTTTAACCTATTATTAAGATTTCATTTATATTTATAAACAGGTGGCAGCCCTATTAAAAAAAATGTTTTTAAAATGAATTTGCTTCAAATCTCGTTGGTTTGGCACCAATATTGGAGAATTTCATTGCACTTTGAACTTCAATTGAATTTAACTTTTTAAGCTGGTGGCAACCCTCTCCAAGAAAATTGTCCTGTATTTTAACATCGATCCTAAGCTATCTTTGTACCCACATTTTTTCCATATCCGTGCAGCCATTTTACCACGAAAGAGCAACAAACATACGCACACGCTTCCTCACTCACTCACTCACAAGCTTTCACACTTATAATATTTGTAGGATATACCAGATTAACTTGAATTGCTGATTTTAAAACTTATCCATTTTCAATTAAACTGAAGTATAGCGATTTAATGTTTCGGTATTTAACTACATACACACATACATAGGTGGTAAATGCGTAGCGGTTTTGCTAGAACTTAATTATTTATGCACATTTATTTTAATTAAATTAAAAACATTTCTCTTTTTTTGCCGTGACATGCAAAAACCAAACCAACCCCGAACAATGAGTTGCGGTCACAAACCAGCACAGCTGTTACCATTTTGGGAGTGAACACGAAACACGTATGCGGCGAAATCTAAACCAAAGATAAGCTTTTGTGTGGGTAAATATTTTTAGCTATTCATTTATTTAATGTCCGTCTAAAAGGCAGCAAAAGAAACAAAAGAAAGCCACGTAACGCGAATGGACATATGCATGTATGTATGTATATTAGGGTGGTCCAAAAAAATGCATGTGAAAAAGTAAAGTCGGAATTTGTATGCTCTCACCCACCAGGATTGTTCTATACCGAAAAAATATACCCTTATTTTTTTATTTTGAAATCAAAAAATATTTGGAGGTCGCTCAAAGCGCCCAAAGTTTTCCATGTACATACATATTTTATATGGGAAAAACACTTTTCGTAGAAATGGTATAGAATAGTAAAAATTCAATATTTTCTCCCAAAAAACTCGGTTTATCTGCAAGAGATTCCCAATAATAATACCCAATTGTTTATATAACCATTTTTTCATCGCAACTATAATTTATAGGTCCGCCAAAAACCCCGAAAAATGTAATGGGGCGACCAATAAAAAATCGCTAGTTTTAAAATATGGTTAAATAACCAGAGTATTCCGATATAGAAAGAATCAAGAATTCCATACCATTTCTACGAAAAATTTTATTTTCCCCATATAAAAATACATGGAAAACTTTGAGCGCTTTGAGCGACCACTAAATATTTTTTGATTTCAAAATAAAAAATATGGCTATACTTTTTTTCAATATAAAACAATCCTAGGGGGTGAGAGCATTACAATTCCGACCTTACTCGTTTTTTCGGAGCACCCTAATGTACAAGTAACAAGCGAAAGTACTTGCATTAATATTTATGTAATATTGTGTGCACGTATTACAAGCGTATGTTTATATTATTTTTATTATGCTTTTACTACTTGCGCTGCTTAGCATTTATATTTAGCTTTGGAACTCAGTGTCCCACAGCTCTACAAACACTCAGCGCCACTTTTTTGTATCCTAGTCTATGCAGGCTTTAAGCAAAACAAAAAAAAAATGCTTTAATTATTTAAAACTTTCATTTCGGCTGTCCAAATAAACCAGGATGAGTGCATGGGAGAGTGGGTATTTATGTCAAATCGTAAACGTGTTTGTTGCTTTTAGTTGCTGAACTTGTAAAAGACTTTCAGCATTGCTAACATTAGATGTACTGGGAGTATGTTTATATTTGTAAATTTCCTAGAAGCATTTGCGGGCGTATGTGTGTGTGAATTTACGAATGATATCCTCTTGCTCGGTTGAACGCAAAGTTTTAACGACCTTTTCATGCTCTGAATATGTATGAGGATGCCTGCACACAATGCGACTTACACGTATGTAATGTATGTACATTAGGCTGACCCAGTAATATGTATATCTACGGATTTGAATATACCTTCAAAATCGAGTTTTTATAAATAAAATTTGTTTAGAAAAATTTTTCCAAAAAATCTCTTCATACGTTAGAAGAGTTAAGCATAAAAACGTGTAAGCAATTCTATATATATAATATGTGAGAAACTTAAGTATTTATTCGATGTTCAATTTGTCAGTCAAACTCACTTAAATGAGTTATTCCTGCATTGAGTTAGTCATTGTATTTTAATTTGTTATCTTCTAATAGTGTTTTGGTATAAGTATGTATTTCACGCATATTCATTGACAACTTTCGGCTTAGTTTAATGCTTTTGCTTTGCGAACACCAGCACTTGATTCAATAAAGTGTCAACAAATGAGTGCAAACAGCAGGAGATTCGGCTCTGCACGCAAACAAAGACGTCGATGGATAACGCAAACATCTGAAAATGTATTTACATACTTATCTGTTAATATATAAGTAAGTATGTATGTACTAAAAGATACGCAAACTTTTATAAAGTAATTTAACACTTTAGTATGGAAACTTTAACGAAATTTTCGTAGCCCTAAATAGAAGTAAGCGAAATAGCCACTATTTTATTAGTCCTGTAGGAAAAAATCCAAAATACAAAGGGTGTATTAGACATCGTTATATTTTAAGGAAGTAATTTGCTGATTTCTGCTGCTAAAGCAACCAAACTTTTCTGGTCATAGTTCCATTAGCCGTAGAGTGCATTTTAACTTGACAAACGAAGGTCCCCGCTCGGGAGCTCAACATGAATACTCCGGCCACGATCAGAGGCATTCGTCTGGCGCTTTCTGACATAGCCAAAAATATTGGCCTTAGCTCTATATAGTTGCAGGCGGGAGTAAAGAAGAGATGATGCCTCTCTCCGAAAGTAATTTCTTGACTCTTTGGAATCATAGTAAAGCGCCTAGCGCGGTCTGGTAGAATACACTAGAAAAGTATACGCTAGTCAGTAGGTTGGAGTGAGCGCAACGAACTACTTTTATTGGAATCAGTGGGAAACTTA